ACTGTAGTCGTTTTTACGTACACTGTCGTCTGTCACTGTCATTCGCCTAATAGACTTGAACAGTGGCGTGGCAAAGAGTAATTTCAAAGGCAATTGCCTTTGGGATTTTTCAAATATTGGGGGGGTGGGTATCAAGGATTGTACTTATTTACATGCAAATACATGTGGGGCCACTGGACTTGAAGTATTTATACTTCAATTTCTTTATTTTCTCGAAAACTGGAATTTATAACATGGATTCATTAAAAATTTTAAAAGGATAACATTTTTTTATACATAATTTATAATTAGGTATTTAGGTTTAGGTATAGTACCTATATTCTAATCACTTTTGAAAAAAAAATTTCACTGCTTACATCTTTTTAATACCCACGCCACGCCACTGCAGCCAATAAAATGCAAAATGCACCCAATTTTCAGATTTTTTTACTATGACTCTGAAAATAATTATTCTGGGTTTTTTAAGGTTTATCATTTTTATCCCTAGGTAGTTATTTAGGTATTTAGGATATGTAAACGTCTTTATAATTTTCAATTGTCGATTTGTAAAATATGTATTTATTATTGATATAATGGATTGTTTTTCAATTTTAAGCATTGTTATACAAAAGTATAAAAGTTATTGKTATTTATTTCTTATAACTTATAATATAGGTAACTATTGTTCTTAAAAATACAATATAGTTTTAGATTCTTAACGAAGTGATGAATGTATTGATTTTACAATGATGTGTATTTTTTTTTTTGTGTTTGTGTACAGCATACCTAGTCGAAATAATGCTTTAATTTCAAACTTAGGGGGTGGCTTCCGATGTAAAAGTGAATATCCTTGGTGCATTATCAAAAGTAAACAYTTTTCAACAGTTTTCAAAAAAATCGAGAAAAACAAAACGGGAATTTTTACGCAAAACCAGTTTTCGAACAAATCGATTTTTTTATATGGTTGTAATTCAAACACTAATCACTGTAAATACTTGAAATTTTCACCAAATTTTGAATTGTCGGTAAAAAAGTTTTAAATGACCAAAAAAACTTGAAAATTTAATACAAGGTTCCTTATGAGTTGTTCTTATTGTAGCTAAAAAAAATTAAAA